GATGGCTCATTTCTGGTATCCTCATCCTCTTCTTCCTCTTCCTCCAAAGGCTCACTCTTTGGTTCTTCTTCCATGGACTCATTTTTTATCTCATCTTCTTCCATGGACTCATTTTTCATCTCATCTTCTTCCATGGACTCATTCTTTATTTCATCTTCTTCCATTGGATCACCCTTGAACTCCTCCTCCTCCTCCAAAGACCTGTTGATTAAGGAATTCTCCCTAACAAACTGACTGCACTCACTATTTGTATCCTCAACCCAAACTTTCTCTTCACTAGTGTCTTCTTCATCTTTAATTTTGTGCTTCATGTCATCTTCTCTTTTAATAAGACTGTCATCACAAAGGAGAAATGAATTGCATTTAAACTTTTCTTGTAGCAGTGAACCTTCACTCTCACTCAGGTGAGCAGCTTTTATATCCCAAGTAGAAGTTAGGCCATTCACTGTCTTGATATCACATTTGCTCTCATTCTCACTTTTAATGTCATTTTTTATTTCATTGTCACCTAAGTACCCATCAGCCTTCGCCTGAGTTCTCCTTTTCTTTGATTTGTCTGCACCATCCTTTCTCCATCTCACATCCGAGGCAGAGCCCTCCTCCTCCTCCTCCTTCATGGCAGCAGGTTCTTCCTCATCTTCCGTTGGTGGTTGGAGGTGGGGCCGTGTTGTGGTAGAGTATTCCCCAGGATGAAGAGGGGTCGACAGATGAAAAATCGGGTCACTTGCCCTACAATAGTAGGGAAGTTCATACCCCATGGCCTTCATTACTAAAGCCATCACAACATCACATTTTCCTGAAAACAAAGAAATTAGTAAGTTTTCTCAATCCAAAGAACATTGCTATACTGCCTGAACATCCAAGCAATGAGCTTCTACGCGTTACAGATATATTTGCATACTGATCAGTAACCTGATGATCACAATTAAAAATCTAAATAGAGACATATCAAAGCCATAGCATTCCATAAGGAACAGATAATGTTGATGGCTGCCTGTGTGTGCAGACATCAACATTAACTGTGTTTGTGTGTGTGTTTGTGTGCGTATTTATTATTTGTATGCGTGGGGGTGGGGGGGGGGGTGCCAGGCTGGCTGGTTGTATATGTAAGAGTGTAAGTAAATAAATGAGTGAGAACTTATGTTTACTTTTAGGATTACCATTTCAATAAGAAATTATGAATTCACAAACACCAAAATACACCAACCGTTAATCTTGAGGGTTGCATCCTTATCTTTTGGGGTCCACTGTAGGTTGACAATATAAAGTTGTGGTCGTTTTTTGGGTGGTCGGTCCATTTGCCAAAGCCATGGGTACTTTTTCAGAACCTGTAAATATACAGAGATACCTCCAAGTAATTTCTTTTTCAAATGTGCACTTCTAAAAAAAGAAAAAGAAAAAAAAAAAAAATTGCTCTTTTTCTGCCATGTTCCCAAATACAGTAAGTCCCCAACTTAAGAACATAATGGGGACCGAGAGGCTGTTTGTAAGTTGATTTGTTTGTATGTTGAAAGTCGGGTCTCCATTATCTTTTTTCCCATTGTCTTAAAGTTTTGTTTACATTAAGAATACCTGTAAACAAATCCCAATAAGTATGACATACCTTATACAGTACCAGACTCTTGAACTATATTCGCATCTGGGAAATTTGAATTTTTTTTTACTTTAGTACTTAAAAAAAATTGTTTGTATGTATGGAATATTCATAAGTAGAATGTTCTTAAGTAGGGGACTATCTGTATAATATCTATGAAAATAGTAGCTGTTACAATGTTTTATATCACCAAACACATTAACAGCATTGCAAAACTAAAAGATATGCAATCTTCTATATGAGAAGTAAATAACAAAGCTGTCTTCCTAATTACCATATTTACTTATGTGTAACTGTTGCTACTCCAGAAAAGAATAGTCAATAAAACAGATAACATAAAAATATACACATACCTGATCATCCTATAAGAAAACCACTGTAAAGCACTAAATCTTATAGAAATAATTTCAAGCCTAATCTTACCTTTAAACTTGATCCCAAGCAGAGTATTGTATCACAGGCATTGGCTGCCTGACATGCTCCTTGCCAATTGAGGGGCCATCGCAGTTTCCCCCTCTCCCCAAAATGTACAATTGTATCTATCAAAGGCTCACCGCATCTGTAAAGCAAGTATACTCTATATTTCAAAATGCAGTGAATAATATTTCCAATTTTATCCTCAAATAATTATGCTCCACATTTTTTTTATGAGCTTAAGCCTTATAAATCATTCATGACAATATACCAGTTTCTAAAACAACTACAAAAAAAAATCCTCGACCCAATGCCTCTGGAAGAATTTGGGGTTTGCAGGGCCTCCAGAGTGATATGATGATGATTTTTTTATGCAAAACATGACTTAAATGTTTTAGTATACTCATTTTTGAAAAGAGATTGTATGCAGTTATATAAAAGGCTGCTACTACCACAACTTCAGTACTTCCCTTTTATGTATCATACTTCAAGACAATGTGTGTAGTTGAAACAAGGAGACTGATCTTGTATACTAGATTGAAGGTTACTTACAGGTTCATATTTGTGGCAAGAAAGAGCTATGTTTTGCTGATTGATGTCTTCTATGCAGAGCAGACGAATATGTGCTAAAATTTGCCCTTTATAGAAAACAATAGCCAATCTCAGCATTATACATCCCATTCTCTCTCAAGCAACACCCACAATCAATTCTGCCATGACACGAACCCCATGTCATCTGGAGGCTATGGGTTAAGTGTGAACCTACATACCTATAACAGCGGCGCCCTGTAGTGTGTTTATAGATGGAAGTTCTCTCAGTGACATCAAAAGTTCTTACATATTCCCGTGCTGGAACACAGTGCTTGCAAACCTAAAACCAAAGGAAAAATTTAAAAAGTACTATTCAATACGTCTATGCAAAACATACCTTCCAGTTTTTTTAGCCTACCCATGATGGGCACCTCCAAGTCAAAAACACTAATTTCCAGATGGCAGTTATAGCAGCAGTAGCTGGCCGCCAGGAGCCCACATGTGAAACACACCGCGGGGGTGTAAGCCACAAACACAGGTGTCTCAGCTATAAGATGGCCGGCTACTGCCCATTTTCTGGCCGTCTCATTGGTGAGACATGCATCAATGTTGGGTTAAAGATATCAAGAAGAAAATTTCACACATCTGTGAAAAATATAACTCCCAGTATTTATAAAAAATGAGTTATCTACTTTGTAGCCAAATAATCTAAATAAAAAAATTGTTTATTTACCATTGCAGAAAAATTTAAACATTTGGCTCAGAGAATATGGCATCTACTCTTTATTCCATTCACAATATGTGATAATCTATATCACATAATGGCAAAAAATACCAGACACAAAGTATCATCTTGTCATGTCATAACTTTTGCTCCCATAAACAGGCAGCACAGCACAGTATGTGAAGACATCATGATTTGAGCACTTAATTTTGCAAGGATGAGTAAATGCTTTTAAAAGATTTTTTGGCTGGGTTATATCTGGAACAATGAGATCAAGGAATATGTCACAATACTGAAATTAGTCCACTTTAAAAATTCATAATTTGAACTCCATGAGACTTTAGCTAACATAACACTTAGTACCATGTACAGCCCAAAAAACGAAGGAGCTAAAAAAGGTGATAAAAAGCATGCTACTGTACTAGACCCTCACATACACTATTAGTGGAATCATTCTGTGGCTTTACGGAAAGAATGTTGGACTCTTTCTAACTCATTGAAAAAATAGTCCATTACTTCTTCCTTCATCAAAACACAAATACAAAAAATAATATATATATACAAACATACAAAAACACTTCTTAAAAAATATGAGGCCAACCAACGTCCTTTCACTTCCTTACCTCAATGTACATGTTGCCGTGGACTTCAGACATAGCTGTCTTGGGAAGGCCAGAGCGGAGGTGGAGGCCATCACAGTTTTGGGAAACTACATGTCTCACAATGTTTTGGTGATAAAGTGCAGAAAGTGCCATGTGTGTTAAAGTAGGCTCAGCTGCAGAGAGGTCATGGTGCCTGGAGAAAAAGGTTTCCTATACTACAAATATCAATAATAAAATGAACATGAGCTTACATCTCCTTGAACTCCAAAAAGCCAAATAAAGCAACTTTAATATGAGTAAATAAAGGTAATTCTCATTCACTAACAACCTTATTTACAAATATAATTTGAAGAAAACACCTGTTCTCTATAAATCAAGGGATTAAATTGCAAGGAATCTAAAATCTGCACATAATAAAGGACTTACCCAATGTCTAAGCCCTTCTGCAGCATTGTCCAAATTCCATTAGGGCCTCTATAGTCTGGTATGGAGGCAGCAGTTGAGATGCCAGCCCCTGTGTACACAACCAGGAATTCAGCATCATGGATAGCCTGAAAGCAGAAACAAGTAGGAATCCCACTACACTATCATCTGCAATAAGTCTATCAGCAGTAGATCATTCAAAAGGCATATCATTATGAATCGGTATTCTCTATTTTTGTGGTTTCACTTGATATCTATTTTCCATCAATTCTTCCTTTTCTAATAAAAGAAAGAAAGTTACATTCGTACCTGTGCAAGTTGTTCGCACTTGGCTTCCAACAACTCTGGTGAATCTTCCTGTTCTGTCTTCCGAGATTGCCAAACTGCCCGTCTCTCTCGCCTGAATGTATAAAAAGCAGAAATCAATGAAATATGATATATGTCTTTAACCCACTGATGCTGGATGTGCATCCATACATACAATAGTCACTGTGGTTTTATTTTGTTTACACATGATGGCTCCAGAAGTGCTCAGTCACTAAGAAATCAATTATCTGGTCTACTTGATCTCACCATTTACCCCATTTTGTTTTTTTTTGGAAAATAATGTTTTCATTCTCATTACTATTATTGCTAATAAGGTCATAAAAATAATAATGATAATGATAAAAACGACAGTAATCCCTCAGGACTTGTTTCCTCCAATTACAGCTAATCATGCCAAGTCCTATTCGCAATGATTGTGGAAGCCCTGTCAAAATCTGGCAGGATTTTTGCCTCAACTTTTTCATTATGAGATACAGTTTCCCCTAAAATAACTGGGACTGTTTGGCAATTTCATACAGCCACAACATCAGCTCCATAACCCTACTCCCCTTTTTTAGGCCCTCCTCTGCCTCATCTTCTATCTTCCCTGTGAAAGAAATGTATTCAGTATGAAGTAGTAATTCTGGTACTGCTCATTATAATTGTTCCAGCCAAAGCCTACATCTTTTCCTCTTCCCATATTCCCCCTCCACATCCCATGCTATTACATATCACAGAGCTACCTCCTGATATTTAATCATTTCTTTAGATGTCCAACTACTTATAGATATATCAAAATACCCATTTTATCTTTTATATGATCAAGTGAGGTAAGACATATTTATATACATTTCCATTTACATTTTTCAACATTGTGCTCTTCTGACACTATGTGTATTAGAGATATGACAATGAAATAGACATTCACTAGATTGTGAAAATGAGCTTTAAAAAGCCTGCAACCAAAAATGTGACTTAGTGACACTTGAAAGATCATGCCTTTTCTGCAGCTGATGGGATACACAAGCTAGAGAGTTTGTAGTTCTATGGGATAAATAACAACAATCATGGCAGCAGAGATTTTAAAAAAAAAACTTTTCCTTAGAAAGGTAAGGAAAAGAGTAGACAGGTGAGATTAGATAGCCCTCGTATTTGATCCCTTGGTGACTAAGCATTTATAAAGAGCTTAAGTCATCAAGTCAAAAAAATAATCAAATATCACAGTGGATAGTGATTCTACCCACTGCACATGCATTACTACACAACACATAGAAAGTAATGACAAAGCAAAATTCTTTAGAATGCTCTACACCTTTCATTCTTTTCAAACAAAAGATGACTGGATTATATTGACATGACAAAAGAAGTAAAATTTAGGAGAGGAGCTTAATTCTGTGACCTAATTCCCTGATTCTTCCCAGCGTCTTTCACAGTGAGAGCTCTATAGGTCAATGCTTTCCGAGTCCACATTCTTCGGGTATCGATAGAAAGAATTCAACACTCAACATCTTATATCCAAGCTCTAAACAGAAACTTGTGTTTAAATCAAATCACAGTAAAATAAACGTATCTCCAGGTCACTCACTAAGGTTGTACTTAATCCATTAATACTGGGAGTGTATTTGCCCTGTGTACTATAGTTTTGTTTTATTATTCCTCTGTACAGATAGATGGCCACAGAAGCACTTCATCAAAGAATCAATTAGCAGGCCTACTTCACCTCACCTCTACTCTCAATACTTGAATTTTCATGAAGAAAAGTCTTTACTTACAACTATATTGTTTATGATAATGATAATGATAATGATAAAGATAAAGATAAAGATAAGATAAGATAAGATAAGATAAGATAAAGATAAAGATAAAGATAAAGATAAAGATAAAGATAAAGATAAAGATAAAGATAATGATAATGATAATGATAATGATAATAATAATAATAATAATAATAATAATGATAATGATAATGATAATGATAATAGTAATAAGACTAAAAAAAAACTTTCTCCTTATAATTCAATGGGGTAAATAGGTAAGATCAGGTAAGCCTACTCATTAATTCCTTAGTCACAAAGTGCTGTGCTTGTGAAGTCATCTACTTATAAACATAATTAATAAAACAAAAACTAAGTGAACATTGCATGTACCTGGTGCTAATGCATGAACGGATTTCCTACAGAAGACATGAGGAGGTTGCAATGAAATAAGGTAATATATTCTTGCGTAACATTATCTACTGGTATTGTGCACTGTGTGTAAAATTAGTGATACTTAACGAAAATGATTGATGAAATTGGAGACTATGGAAATCCTTTTTCATGTTGAGAGGTTCAAGAAAATTGAACACAAGAGAACTGTGCAAGATCTATAACACAGTGATATTATTATACATCTGTCATTCTACGAGACTCCAATTTATATCACCCATATGGATAAGATGTGTAACTGTATATATAAATATATACAAGCCTAAGCCAATTTCCACTGCTAACAAAAAAATAAAACATACGAAACGAGGCATCAATACCTCAGCTAATAAATTTCAGATTTTACTTACCTCTTATAAAACTGTTCCACTAATTCAGAATTCTCCTCAAGAATTCGTCTCTCTTCTGGAGTGAGACTGTCATGCTTTTTTCTCAATATGGATGATACCTGGAAATGAAATATGGATGAACTTATACAGTTACTATTCAAAAGTTTCCATATATTTCCTAAAATACCAAGCCTGATTTTCAGAGGTTCCAGGGAGGGGATGGCATTATGCAAAGTCTATAATGGTGCGCAAATACTGTTTAAATATAAAGATAAATAACATGATTCCAAAATCATTCTAGTTATTGCCATATCATGATTATAATGAAAATCATATAGTACACATATTGCTAAAATCATTACTGATATTGCTATCAACAATACCATTATTACCACTGTAAAATCATTATCATTGTCATCATTCCCATTACAGTAGTAAGAACAATATAAGCAGTATAATCATTACAATTAGGTAATCAATAAGTCTGAGTTAACATGATTTTTTTTGTAACAAATACAGAAATGTGAGGTACTCCAATCTGATTCCCTCCTTTAAACATATCTAAATGAGATCCTTTCAACTTTATACATCTTTCTTTCCTAAATAATCAATATTGAATCAATTCTACAACTTTTCTTTACCAAATTAATAATGGAAATGAAATGAGAAATATTGTTGACATTTCACATAAATAGATATTATGGTAATTATGACATTCACATATGAAGAAAGTGAATGACAAGAGTAATTTGAAGTGAAATATGAATTTCATGGTCTATAATGAATTCCAAAAACTCTTTATCTCAGGAATATAAAAAAAACTTTTGACTCTGGATCATTAGTGTAATGTGTACCAAACAGGCCTAACACATATTACAACATATTCACTCTTTGATCACACTTGCCTTCATTGAAAGCACTGTTTTTAAGCATCAAAAATACTTATCACTGTAAAATGTGCAAACAGACACGACAAAATAAAAAAATTTCCACCAGAAGAAATGAGTTTACAAAATGCAGGCCTCATTTACGAGCCCATTAACACCCCCTTGGCACAGGCCACGCCAACTTTTCCATTCTTCCCGTGACACCTACAGGCCTCCTCGATCAGAAAAAGCCACCCGAAGCAGCCCGAGCAGCCAAGGGCGTCCCCGCAAACCCTCCATCCCTCACAGAGTCCTAACAAAGCCCGTGGGCGTCTGACACCTGGCTGGCTGGCACCCTCTCCATCCAGGCCGTCGCCAAGACTCTTATGCCGATTAAACCCCCCACGCTCGGCCAGCGCCCCGTGAAAGGCGACCGGGCCCTCCGTGAACACCTACTCTCTTCAACCGAGTGGCATTTTTCTTGCTGATATTGAGCGACGCAGTGGTAGCGGCCTTTCTCCTGGCAGGTTCGGCCGGCGCGGCGACGTCCCCTTCCTCCATCGCGGTGTTTACAAACATTGACGATCGGCGAGGAGTCAACGGACCCGCCACAGAAAACGGGGATTTCTGAATGGACGGCGCGGCGGGCGAAGGGGGGACTGGGCTAGAAGGGGTGGACTCGGCAGTGACTCGCTTCTGGGATGGAAATGGGGTGTTAAGTGAGGGCCCTGTGGAATCTGGTGTTAAACGAGGGCCATGTGAGAAATATGTTGTTGGGACTGGGCTAGAAGGGGTGGACTCGGCAGTGACTCGCTTCTGGGATGGAAATGGGGTGTTAAGTGAGGGCCCTGTGGAAACTGGTGTTATATGATGGCCCTGTGGAATCTGGTGTTAAACGAGGACTCTGTGAGAAATATGTTGTTGGGACTGGGCTAGAAGGGGTGGATTCGGCAGTGACTCGCTTCTGGGATGGAAATGGGGTGTTAAGTGAGGGCCCTGTGGAAACTGGTGTTAAATGATGGGCCTGTGGAATCTGGTGTTAAACGAGGGCCATGTGAGAAATATGTTGTTGGGAGTGTGGTAGAAGTGATGGACTCTGCAGTGACTCGTTTCTGGTATGGAAATGGGGTGTTAGGTGAGGGCCCTGTGGAAACTGGTGTTAAACGAGGGCCATGTGAGAAATATGTTGTTGGGACTGTGGTAGAAGTGATGGACTCTGTAGTGACTCGCTTCTTTTTTATGGTAACTGGTGTTAAATGAGGGGCCTGTGCGAAATATGTTACTGGGTAACTATCCGTATATGCTAGAAACTAGTGCCGAGTGAAGAGCACGGTGGAAGTAATGGGGATAACCGTTCACTTGCTAATTATGTAGAAACTTTCATAGAAAACTAGGGGAGGCCATTGGTTATCTGTAAAAGCGAGGGTATCTGCCGTAACTTGTTATTTGTGCGAAAACTTTGGTATAGACTGTGGGGACCTCTTAGTTGTCGCTACGCGGGATATGAAAAACCTAATAGAACATTGGTAGATTGTGTGGAAACGTTTTGCTATTAAAAGGAGGCTGCTGACTGCTTATAAATATTGGTTGTCATGTTGCTATGTAAAAAAAAAATTAATAATCTGAATAATGTGAAAAGTCTTACAAATATAAAGCTCTTTTCCGCTATGTGGAAGTGACTTTGCGCACTCCGACAGAGAGAGAAAAGACCCATACCTAGTATTTTGGAAAATTTCACGAAAGGCGTTACGATTTTTGAGAATTACCATCCTTTGTGGATCATCGTGGAATAAGATACCTCTGGTAGTAATGTAGGAGTGAGTGAATAACAATATTAACGGCAACAATAATAAGAATGATAATAATGATAATGATAGTAGAAGTAACAGTAATGTTGATAATGATAATGATAATAATAATGAAAACAACAATAATGATGATAATATTAATAATCATGATAATGATAATTATAATAATACTGATGATGATGATGATGACACAACAACAGCAACATTAATAATAATAATAATAATAATAATAATAATAATGATAATGATAATGATAATGATAATGATAATGATAATAATAATAATAATAATAATAATAATAATAATAATAATAATAATAAGGATAATGACAATAATAATAATGATGATAACAATAATAACAATAATAATAATAATAGTAATGATGATAATAATAATAATAATGATAATAATAATAATAATAAAAATGATAATAATGATAATGATAATAATAATAATAATAATAATAAATAATGATAATGGTAATAATAATAATAACAACACCAATAAAAGATAGTAATAATAATAATAATAATAATAATAATAATAATGATAATAATAATAATAATAACAATAATGATAATAATAATGACAGTAATGATTATAATAATAATGATAGTAATAATAATAATAATGATAATAATAATAATAATAATAATAATAATAATAATAATAATAGCAATGATAATAATAATAAAAATTATAACAATGGTAATCATAATGATAATAATAATGATAATAATAATAAAGTAATAATAATGATAATGATAATAATAATAATAATAATAATAATAATAATAATAATAATAATAATAATAATGATAGCAATGGTAATACTTATGATGATGATGATAATAGTAATAATAACAATAATGATAATAGTAATAATAATAATAATAATAATAATAATAATAATAATAACAACAACAAAAACAAGGATGATAATGAAAATAATAATAACAACAATAACAATAGTAATAATAGTATTGATGATAATATTAATAATAATAATACTGTAGTAGTAACATAAATAGTAATGACAATAATGATAGTGATAACTATAATAAAAATGATAATTATAATGATAATAATAATAATAATGATAATAGTAATGATAAAAACGATAATGATTCTAGCACAAAGAATGAAACAAGTTCGGGAATGAATATTCATTAGTCTCAAATAAAAAATTATTGATGGGAACACTACCAGCGTTTGTAATTACTTGGGCAAAACCAGTTATCAAGTATAGCGCAATTACAGTGGACAGGAGGAAAGAGGAAGATCAAGCATTAGACAGAAGACATAGGGAATCGTTTACAATCTACATCCACGTTCTGATGCAGACCAGAGGTACATAAGGGAATTGGCCAGCATCGTAGACTGCGTTAGAAGCGAGAGCAAGGCACTGGGCCAGTATATTAAAGACCATGGAAGGAGTTCAGGAAGAGAATGAAGGATCAGAGGAAATATAACTGGAGAGAAAATGTTATGAATTACCAGTACTTAAAATACATGAAATAAACATTAACGAGACATGGGGCTGACTTAAACAAGGAGAATTGAAGAGTGGGTCTGGAGGAACCATCTTGGTTGCGCAAGAACAGAGCCTAGCAGTTAGCTATGTAAAGGCAAGGTTGTACCGTGAACAGGGTATGTCCACTACAGAATATGGAGCTCCAAGGAGGGAACGATCAGCCACATTGCTAGTGAAGGTTCCAACTCGTCGCAGAACCAGTGTAAGAAAAAGCATGATGGTATGACAAAAACTCAACACTGGAAGCTCTGCAAAAGACCTTGTTCTGGTAGAGAAAGGTACAGACATTGTGTCAATGATTGACATTAGTGCGCCGTTCTACTCTAGAATAGGTCAGCAAGATATGGAAACTGCAGAAATTAGTGGTGGTGCCCACCGTCATCGGGCATACTCGGTGCAGTACCAGAGGGCCTCAAAAAGAATTTAGAGAAGAATGGGCTGAAGGGCTTGCCAACTGGATTACTCCACAAGAGCGTGCTGTTGGGCACCACCCACATTCTTTGAAGAGTCCTGACATGTGAGAATTCAGGATAAGGAGATTATAGATCAGCGAAAGAGAACCAGATTTTTGATGTTCGGTGTAACACGGTTGATTCCAAACACCAGTGTTGCAACCAACCAGACGGCATCAGTGATTCTGAAATATATCCATGATAATACTGATAATAAGGATAGCAACAGTAATTATACTAACGAAGATAATAATAAAAATAACAATAATAATTATGACAATGAAAAGGATAATTTTAGGTGCATTTCTAGCATTCTTATATGTTATATGCAAGAAACTAGTAATCCAAAGATAGAAACGTATAAACTGTTGGTACGTCTGTGGGAGGAAGAACAGCTGGGAGACAGTGCTGCTTTCGGGATTGCTCGTCCAGCTTGATAGCTCGCTCGGACACGTAGTTTAGAGCCTCACCCCGTGCAGTGCGATGCTCAGTGACATGACATGAGTGAATGCCATGGTCAGCGTTCTTATATTCGTGAGTTGTTGAGGAAAATATATACATACATCCTCATATTCTTTATAATACACACTTTATGCAAATTATAACAATAATAATGATAATGATGATAATCATAATAATAATAATATTGATAATAACGAACAATGAAAATGATAATGATAATTATAACAGGAATAATAATGATAATGAGG